GTTGTGCACTATGGTCAGATGTACTGTAAAGCCAAGGATGTGCAAAGAGAAACAAGCAAAGCCTGCTACTATGAAAGGGATGGGGGACGAGTAGATTCATTGATTTCGGACAAATGTGCACATAGCCGCTAGTAAAACTAGCCTGAAACAGGATGCTCATAGCTTAATAATAAAAGCTGTGCAAAGGCCATGAATGAATGAATCTTCTGTTTATTTCATTGATACACACATTACCTCATTGACAGTTCTGAAGCAAATGCAACTGTGTTGACTCTTGGAAAGCAGCAAAGAGGAGCTGAAGGAGGAGTTCTTAGAACCAGCATAGCCCACAGAGGAATTAGGAAGGTGTGTTTTTATTTTGTTTTATTTGTTATAAAGTAGTAAAACCTTAGTGATACAGCCCAGTATCTGTTTCCCTTAGGCCACTCCCAGTAGGTGCACTATGGCTGCTGAAGGTTTGTGATTAGAACCAACTGTACCTAAGCTATGGATGTAGAGAGTGTCTCACTACTTCACTCAGCATGTAAATAAAGGGATCCTGTTGAGTTCTCCTGGCTGCAGCTCCCCTGTTTGCCATGGTTCTTTGCCTCTCATTCGTCATGTACATTTGTGTACACTGAAGCTCAGCAGTCTGCCCATGTACTCCTCGGTGAGATTCCATAGGATGTATTTGCTCGTTAATGAGGGTTCTCTGTTCAGTAGCTTCAATCTTTTCTTTGTACATTTATTTTCAATGAATTGATTCAAGTTTGGGTCTTCTAGAATGCTTGTAAAGTCCCATTTTAATTTTTAAGAGTCAATTTGTAGTTCTGTAGTGTAACTTTGGGGAACATCTGCCCATAATATGGAATAAAGTTTCTCGGGGGCCTTGGTGTAGACTTGGTGCCACATGATTCATTGCAGAGTGTGCTAGAGTCAGCAGGCTTCTGCTCTGCTAAATACAACTTCAAAGAACACAATTCTAAATGAACTTTGAAATACTATCTAATTTATAAAAGTCAATAAAAAGGTTTTGGTAAAACTTTTTCATGCAAGATGCTGTTTACAACAATGAACACGCCAATAAAACATTTGTTCATGTTGCTGTGTTATTTGGTCATTAAACTTCTGGGGGCATGAATCTGAGTTCAGAATGAATTTGTTGTCTTTAAATGTGGCACTTTATTACCTGTATAGCATAAGTATCTCATTCTCTGATGAAGTATATTTATAGTAAAGTTCTTCAGGGGATCCTATTTCAGAATCAGATTTTTACTCTTTTTCTTCCTAAGAAGTATTTAATGACAATATTAGCAAGTGTTGACTCTGGTTTCAGTATAATTAAGATATTCCATTAATATCTTAAAAGTCTCTTGGGTCTGGTCCAGGCCTGCTTACTTGGGACCTGGGTGTCAATCGCCTCCCCAAGACTGGCTTTCTAACAAGCAGAAGAAGTTGGTAGAGTGGGCTTGCTTGCCTTTCCTCTGGTTTGGCATAGTGTCCTTAGTGGCTGGCACAATTCTTCTCATTTGTCTGCCCCTTGGTGTGTGCCTTCTGCTCTGGGTCTGTTGTTGCTGTGTATGAGTCATTGCAAGCATATTGCACATACCAAAAATAGAGGAAATGCTTCATAGAAAAGCTTTAAGAGCTAGTTTCTCAGTGCATGGGAGTGAATGAAAGCAAGAAGTGGGAAACTTCACAGTAAAGTCGCTGAAGTGGGAAGCAGCCCCTTTGGGCTTCAGAAAGCTTGTCTCTGAGCTGGAAGCAGGACATAGGAATTGAATTGTGACCATTCTCTAGGGGTCTCACGTTCTGAAGGGCTTTTTATTAGAGCAGTTGTGTCATCACATACTCACTTTCAGAACTATGTGGTCGTACTTCAGAGACCCTGGCTAAGGTAACGAACATTCTGGTCAAGAAACCCACAGCTCTGGTTTCATGGCAATTTAGCAAGCCTACGGGAGGAATATGTGTAAGGGACAGTAATTGTGATGAAGTGAAAAGGCACCTACACTAGAATGTTAATGCCTTGGAAAGTATGCTACAATTAGGAAGATGGATGATCCCAGGCCCCAGCTAGAAAAAGGAGAACCATTTTTTGCCAGCCATGTTGTGAGTGTATATGGCAGCACACCCATAGTCAGAAGCAGAAGGCAACCTAATGCTCTGAGCTACTTGAGAGTCCAGCATCACAGCAGTGTAGTGGGCCATAAGTCTGTACATGACCTGTGACTCTGAAATGCAGGAAGATCCTTTGCTGGGTTCTAGGATTTTGCCATTGAATTGTCAATCTCCCTCTGGGCTCATCTCTGCTCAGTAGTGTAGATTATTATTCAACCCAAACAGTTCTATACAATTTTTGAAAAAACTACTTCGGTCATTGATAGTCTTATTAAAATGCCATGAGTCCTGGAATCAAATGCAAAATGGTAAACATGGAGATTTCTAGGCAGTTAGAAGGTGGCCTGTGTCCAATTTGCAAAGGAGTTCTTGGCTTAAAAGAAGGTATTAACACCTCAGCTGAGTATATGTGAAATTTAAAGATGCTCCTTCAGAGCAGCCAACATGGGGGGAGCCATCATTCCTAGACCTATGTTGATTTTTTTTTATAAGTTGGCTTTTGGAAGCTACGAAAAACACTGAATTACCTCAATAATTCATTGATGCCTATGATCATTTAGAAAGTGCAGCTATCAATAGGGTTAAGGTAGGAAGGCAAAGGCATTGAGAGAGGTATGTCATCCCTGCCACTTCTACTAACCTCCCAGAGAATTGATCATGATCAGAACTGGGAACTCACTGGTACCCCCTCCCAAATTACTGGAAGATAACACCCCTTTATGCTTTTGAGTACCACAGCTTCCCCATACTGTACACTTTTCCAGCTCACATTGCTTGGGTAGCATGCTTAGAGCCAGTTTGTGGAGATACACGGAAGCCTGCCCCCAGTGACTTCCTCCAGCAAGGCTGCATCACCTAAACCTCCACAAACAGTATCACCAATGGGGGACCAGGTGTTTAAATGTCCAAGACTATAGGAGACATTTCTCATTCAAACACCCACTCACCATCGCCACTTGCTTGTCTTTGAACACTGTCTCTGAAGGTTGTGGGACACCAGGGAAGTGGAGTCTTGCTGGTGGAAGTGGGTGGGCCTTGAGGTTTGCTCCACCCCCATGCACTTTTAATCCGCGATAGGAAAGTCACATGGCCAGTCATCTCACTCCTGCAGCCATCGGGAATGATTCCTTCAAACTCTAACCTTTTTCTCCCTTAAGTCATGCTTGTCAGGCATTTACAGTCACAGAAATAATAGAAGTCATACAGAGGCCATCAGTCAAGGACTGCCAGACTAACAAGCTAAGAAGTGGCTGCTAGCTGAAGGGTGGAGGGTGGGGGAAGTCAGCCAGCAACTCCCAGCTTCCCCAGAGGGCCTGGAAGTCAGAGACCTCATCTTATCTGGAGCACCTGTCTTGGAGGAGGGGGACTCTTTATGCTCCAGTTTCCTTTTCACACAATAGGGAAAATCCCTTCTTGGCAGCTTGGTCCTTTGCTGGGATCACTGTTACAAATGCAAACCTTCAGCTCCTGCCACTGCTTCCCCGGCAGGAAGCAAATCTAAGAAAAGAGCAGGCAGAGAGTTAAGAGCTGTATTCAGCTCAGCTCTTCCCATAGTCTGTAACAGTGGTGAGGTGTGCTCTCAGTTAAGCATTTGGGCTCTAGGAAGGGGACCCTAAGTCTCCTTCATTCACTGAACTGGGCTGATACATGGTGGGTATCCAACAGGCTGTTTCATTTGTTTTTGAATACTCTAAGCATTTCCTCACACTTTACTCGTGTCTTCCGTGATGAGCAAAGGGGTCAAGACCATGATGATGAAACCCACACAGACAGCTGACCAGATAAGGGGGAGCTCTTGAATCCCAGACTGATGGTTGAGAGGCCAACAGGAGACTGATCCAGACTCCATGAATGTAGTGCCAGGGAGGAGGCCACAGAAATCACTGGGGCCTTGGTTTATCAATGAGCTTTGGGAGCCCATTCCAAATAGAGGGATACTTTCTCATCCTGGACACATGGGGAAGGGCCTAGGTCCTGCCCAGGATGAAATGACAGACTTTAGAGATCCCCCCCCTCAAGGAGGGTCTCACCCTCCCTGGGGAATGATGTGGGATTGGCTGGGGGGCTGGGGGCCTAGTGAAGGGAAAAGGGAGGAGGGGTGGGAGAAGGAGTTAGGACTGACATATGAAACATTCATGTTTCTAATTTAAAAACATTGAGGAAAAAAAAATCCCATTCATCCCCAACCCCAGGTCCCCCTGCCACTTTCCCAGGAACCCATTTCCATGACAGCCCTCCAAACTAAGCACTCTGTGGGGGCTCCTCCAACTCTCTTACAGGGTTGACTGTTTTTTGTCACCTCTTGGTCTAGCTATGTCCTGCCTTCTGTGAAGATTTCAGAGCAGGGACTCTTATCTGGGAACCAACCCCCAGGGCATATCCCAACCCCTGAGTAAGCCTTCTATACATAGCTGCCAGGTAATCCATGAGCTAAAGTAGCCCTGGTAGGTTTTGACACTTAATAAAGAACACCTCTGTTTTTGATAGTAAAATAATCAGTGTACCTTGATGAATAGAGGAAGAAATCAGATGAAATGACATCTTTTGAAGCCCCATTTCTTCATCTGTTAATAATTCATGGAATTCAGAGTCATTGCCTGCTGCCCTGTTGACCTAATTATACAGTAACCTCATTAGTCTTTACAAAGCTTAATAGCGTCACAACCCTGTTATGGACCAGGTAAAGCATCCACCTGCCCAAAGATCTATTTGTTAAAGGCTTGTTCCCCATGGCACTTTTGGGAGTCAAACAATAATCTGCTTTGTCAACCTAGGTATTTTAAAACACTGTGTTGTTCATTTATTCTGAATCTTAGTATTTGTAGCTAAAAGCATAGGATACAGCAAATCCTAACCAGCACAGGTTTTAGTGACAAATGGGCCCATACCACAGACATAGGTGACTTTATCAAGTACTTACATTTATTGTTTTTCTAAATGTTCACATTTCTTTACTGTGATATCTTCAGATAGATTCAACAGCTTTTAAGTGGTATAAGATGCTATATGAAAGGATTATTACATAGACAGAAATTCCATGTCTTGGAATCAAATGGATTTTGAATCATTTAGGAGACACACCTCTGCATATGTCTATGAGGGAAAGAGTTCCCAGAGTACCAGCCGAGGAAGAAAAACTTGCCCTTATCATGGATGGCATCATCCAATGGGCTGGGATCTCAGAATAAATAAAAAGGGGGGAAGGAGAAAGCCAAGTCCTAGTATCGCCCTTTCTCTGCTTCCTGGTCCTCAGAACTGTGGGAAGCAGCACCACTCTCTCCCCTGTGCCTTCCCTGCTGCAAAATGAACCCTCATCCCTCAGGTTGCTTCTTGTCCGACATTTGGTCACAGCACCAAGCAGAGTAGCTAAAACCAATGTGACAGAGTCTTCTACCCTTAAAGGGTGGGGCCTTTTGAGTGGGTTCCAGGTCCTGGGGGAGGGTTTTATCCTTAAAAAGATTGCATGCTCCTCTTTCCCCATTTCAGCCAGGAAGGGAATGGCTTGACTGTACCATATGCCTCTCCAGTTTCAAAGCAACAGGATTATGATTGAAACTTGAAATGATGAACCAAAATAAACATTTTTAAATATATAAATTAATTACTTCAGATATTTTGTTAGAGTAACAATGCTAACCAGAGCCCAGAACTGCATTTGATTACAGAGAGCCTCCAAAAGAAGACTCAAATATTCCATTTGTTCCTTCTGTTCCTTCAGGAGGCAGCAAAGTATTTTCTCTCTTAAAACAAATTCCCATCCAGACATGGGTAAGAGTTCCAACATATTCTAAAAGAGGTGAAATGCAGATGCCTGCCTGGAAAATCTGCTTCTACGGAAATATTTTTTGTCTCTTTATACTACAGATTGTTTTATTCTATTGTTCTGGATGAAGGGGGTTTATATTTGTTGAAAAAAAGTTCAAGAATTATTAAAGAGTATCCAAAGTGATTTATGCATATCTTTGAGTGCAACACACATGTTTATACATAATTTAAAACTCTGAAGAAAGCATGCTTACACAACTGTGTGCAACTTTAAATTTAATAACTCGGAGTGAAGACAGGATGGAAACAGTTCCTGCAGGGCACCTGAAACCATCATCTGAGGCCTGACACCCAGCCCAGCCTTCTGTCTGGACATCATAGCCATGCTTCCCACAGCCTGGCTTGGTTCTGATTTCTCTGTTATTGAGAAAGGCCTTCCATTGTTGCTAAGCGACCTTGCAAACTTCACTATAACCCTGGCTCTACAATTACCCAAGTGTCCTTCCTGTGAATTAATTTACACAAATGGTCCTCCACTTTCTGACTTTCAGAGTTATTGAAGCAAATGACAGAGGGCAACCTCTGTACCACTGCCTCCACACTGCTACTTCTAACCTTAGAGGGACATGCAGACTGGCCTAACCTTAGTTCCAGGCATGCCTCGTATCTGTAAAAAATAAAAGAATTTTTACTCTCCTTTTGGAAGAACTGTTGGTGGCATCGGGGCTGACGCTGCAGTGTGTGAGAGAACGTGGGACTTAGAGAGAAACGGCGTCTGGTCTGCTCCCGGGCCGTGGTGAGTACAGTGTGAAGGGCTGTGCTGTAGTGAGGTAGGAGGAACCGGAAGAAAGGACATAAGGATGACTGTGTGGGAGGCCGCAAGAGCAGCTTAGCTCCTGTGCAGCCTCTGCCTCAGCCCGTGGAAGGACCATAGGACAATGGTGATAGCTACATTTTGCCAGGTCCACATTTGCAAGCCAGGCACCCTCCTCCATGTGTCCCCCCAAACCATCATGGGCAGACTTGGCCTCTTTCCATCTTCTCCCTTCAAACAAACCTCCATTCCATGAAGAACAAAACAGGGTGCCTGGCACTGGTGTCGGGTGGCTCACGGCTGCCCTCATCCACCATGTCTGTCTGCCAGCACCAGAGCAGCAGGGCAGCTGAACCAAATGTGCTACACTGTACCTTGTCAAGCCGGAGGAAAAGCTACTGGGAAGGAGCTGTGGAGAACACCTGGCCAGCCCCACACCTACAGAACACTCCTGGGGAAATAAATTAGCCATTTCTATTGCACATCTACCAGCAGCTCCGCTGGATCTGGGTCTAAATCTCCTCCCCACCCAATGACTCCTCAGGGATGGACTCCCCAAATGCCATCTCCCGGGCCAGACTCCGTTCCAGGTCCTCCAGCTCCTGGCGCACTTCCCCTATGAAGCCACCATCTTCATACTCATCAGGGGTCTCCCTGGGCAGCAGACTCTCCTCATTTTGGTCATGGCTACTGACGAAGCCTTGTTTGCACACGTACGCCAAGCTGTGGCTGGGGAAGAGGGTTCAGGTTTGGTCAGGGTTTGGTCAAGGTTTGGTCAAGGTTCTCTCTATTACCCTGGAGAGCAAAGCCAGGCTTGGAGCATGTCAGCTCCATGTGAAGCCATGGGCTGTGCTCTCTGTGGGCCTTCAGGCCTCACTAATTCACCACTTCCTGTCAGGGTGCTTTCTGTTAACAGTTTACTGAGGAGCCAGCTGGGAGAATGTCCTCAAGGGGCAGTCACAGGCCTGCTCTTCTGTGACTAACTATTGGCTTGTCTACCTAGGAACAGGCCCCGATGATAGGGACTTGGAAATTCACTGCCACACGGAGTCCCCTCAGCCCTCTGCCCATTTGGGTTCCAAGCAGAAGGCACAATGTAACCCCACATCTGCTGCACACACGGTGGCCTTGGGCCTCTGTGGGAGAGGGGAGGGGAATTCTGTCTGCCTTCCCTGTGTCCCCGATTCTGTTAGAAAAGAAGGGTGAGTAGGGAGTGCGGGCAGGACAGAAAGAGGCAGAGAACAGCCCTGTCAGCCCTGGAGCTTCAGCTCCAGGAGCCTCTAATACTACAGCTGCCTTCCACCCCTCTTGCCTGTCGGCCTCTCCCACTATGATGGTGTGGTCTGGGCTCATTCCCTCCACACCTTCTCCCTAGGGCACCTAACTGGGAAGCTTCAATCACTATCTAACAGAGTCCCAGAGTCTACAAATCTGATGCTGACTGGACCCCTCCATCCTAGTGACCGACAACACCTCCAGTCACACCTACACTGAATCGACCTGCTTTTGAGCCCCTCTGGACGACATTTTGCCTGCTTTCAGCCCCCAGTACAGTCACAGAAAGGACCTCACCTGTGAGGCTGGCAGAGGAGTCCACTGGCACAGGGACATCGGTCCAAAGCACCTTCAGGCTCCAGTTCCCAGGTGATGAGGTCCAGCAGCTGGCTGGCAGGGTCATGGCAGAGCTCCCCCTCCACGGGCAGGAATGTGCACACAGGGAATAGCAGGCCTGGAGCCAGCCAAGCGTCACCATGAGGGCAAGCACGGAAACAGACACAGGCTTGCTCTCCTCCCTCAGCCCCAGGTGAGGTCAGAATTAAAGACGTAGGAAGAATGAGAACGGCAGTGCACATTTGGGATGGACCAACCGTGCGGACTGGAGCAGTTACAGGGGGCTGCCTGAAGAGAGGAGCTGGGTTTGGGGGGTCAAGGCACCTGGGGAAATGAAGGTGTGAAATCAAGGCCCTCAACAGGAGCAGCGTGCCAGGAGGGGCCTGGGTCAGCATAGTGGGAAGAGATGGGCCAAGGAGCAGAGATAAGAAGGACAGAGGATCTGGGTGGACAAGGCCTTGAGGGTGGGAGATGACAGAAGCTAAGGGGGATCCTAGAGGAGCAACCTCTAGAATGTTGTTCTCCAAGCAAATCATGGAGGTGGCAGGTGCAGGAAGGAACAGTGTGGAGCTGGGAAGACGGAGATGCGGAGGCAGCTGAGAACTTTCAGACACACTCCTGGCAAAGGAGAGGAGAGGTTCTGGGAACTGAAAAGAGATCCACACAAAGAACCCAGGCAATAGTGGCTTTGTGAGGTAGGAGAGGAGCTTCTGGAATCACACCCATCTAGGGATGCTCTTCCAGTCCTGGACTCATGCATCCTAAAAGAACTTAACTTGCATAGTCAACAACTGAAAAAAAAATGAAGCAGGCACTTAACTCCCTGCTCTAGGAAAAGGCTATGGTCTGAAACACACAGTGAAGGCATCGAAGACGCTGAAAAGGCGTGGGTATATTCTGAGCCCCAGCAGACCCTCCTGGAAGATTGGGACAGATTTCCCTAGCAGCCACCCGGGAATCCACACACCTCTTTGGAAGGCACAGCACAGGCCAGGCTGGCAATCCCTCTGGTTGTCACAGATGGTCCCGTTGCTACCTTTGCTGGCCTTTTTGGTGCAGTGACCCCAGACACACAGCTGGTCTCCACAGCACTCGCTGTCTCGAGTACATAGCTGTAGGAAAGAGAAAAATACAAGGCCCAGGGGCTTGCTGGGAGCAGGGACCCAGAGACCCACAGGGAATGACAATTAAAGAGCAACAAGAGGTCCCCAGGACTATGCCCTGTGATATGGGTTGGCCTGGAAGGACCACAGCAGCTGCTTCACCATGATGGAGCTGAGCAAGGTCAGAGGGACCCTTTATTTTTCAAACTTACTGTGCATTTTGTTGTTGCTGGGGTTTTTGGTTTTGGTTTTGGTTTTTGGTTTTGGTTTTTTGTTTGTTTGTTCGTTTGTTTTTTACTGTCAAAATAAGGCAAATGGCAAGAGTTCATGAGCCCATCACTTGGTCCAAAAGGCCTTCTGTGTGGAGCAGAGGGTTTCCTTTGCTTGAGGTCATGTTTCTCTCCAGCCTTCCCCTGGCTCCTCCCTCTGTACTGGCTCCTCCCTCTGCACATGTAGTAAGCAGACTGGAAGCTTTGGGATCTGGGAAGCAGCCCAGGAGGAAAGAGGTGGCCCTTCCCTTGTCTGGGAACGGCATGTGTACACTACTGTGTCTGCTGCTGTTCACTGTCCCAGAATGAACCAGTACAGGGCCTCCCATTCTCTCCTCCTTTCCCTACTTTGCTACCCATGAGCCACACAATGTCACCAGAGATTATGGGGTGGAGTGGCTGCAGGTCTGCTGGAATGACATCCTGGTTACTCCAGGAATCAGTCCCTTTGGGATTCCTCCCCATCACTGAAAGGCTCTTGTAAGCAGCTGAGCTGAGAACCCCTGGGACTTCTAATCTTCTCCCCATGGCACGGCAATGGAGACGACTGGTATCTTTACCATCTGCTGGTCCCGGCATGGCTGGCAGGTGTACTTGAAGCTGGAGAACTGGCAGTACCTGGTGGGCCCACAGTCCTCATCAATGATACATTCCTGGGAGGGTAAGAGGGACGGTCTTGTCAGTAGCACGCAGAGGTGTAGATCTGCAGTGCCCTGGAAGCGCAGCATCCAGATTCATCCCTGTTTTGGATGAAGCACTGGCCCAGAAGTGTCTGCTGGCTCCAGGCACACCAGAGCCTGGCTGGGCTGGTGCCTGTCACCTACCCGTCACCTGCAGTTCACATGGGGTCTATCTTCTCTAGATCTCAGGAGCCTTGGGTCTCCCATATCCATCTGTGTTCAGTATTCCCCACACCCAGGGCAAAGAGCACGGGGACTCAAAGTTGCTCATACATAGAGCACATGGTTTTAATAAAAGGTGCTGATGAGCTCCAGGCCCTGAGCGACTGCTCAGGAAGGGCTGGAGGCCAGCCCCAACACAGCCCCTGCTGCCTAGGAAGATACCAGAGACCACCTTCCTTGGCACTGGCGCTGGAGGCCACAGGCCTACCCATAGGGGGACCTACACAGGCCCCTGGCTTCTAAGGAGCAGCCAAGAGGCAAGATGAACTTTAAAGTGGGAGTCGGATGGCTGGAACCCCACCCTCCCAGTCCAGGGCCTTCTTATGGCTGTCAGCTCTGTTTAGCTAGGAACATCTGTCCATCTGAAAGTCAATCTCAGCCATAGGAAGGGGGGCAGGAGAGGAAGGAAAACATGCAAGGACATCATTCATCACCCACTTCCCTAGGACAGACCTTCCTAACAAATGGCAGCTGGGGGTTACTTCTTCATGTTGGGCAATGGTGGCCCAGAAAGGACACAGCATCATGTAAGAGATACGGCTACATCAGGGTAGATGGAGTATTTTCCACCACAGCCCTTGAGTGGAGGGCTCAGGGCTCCAAATACAGTCATCAGAGATGAGGAGAGCTCTTGGGGGCCTGGTGTCCTAGAATGCTGGCAAATATTCTAGAAATATCTCTGTGAAGAGTAGGGCCTACCTCATCCCCATCTCAGGGCATCCTCGATCCTGAAGCCCAGTACAGAGTCCTACATGACAAAGCATGGTGGGTCAGGTGTGAACCTCAGTGCCTGAGAAGGTCTCAGCTCTACCCTGAGTTGAGGAAACTGCATCAGTGGGTACCTAGGGTATCTGGGGGCCTGTAACCCTGAACATGTGCAAGCTGGGTCTCAGCAGACAGTCTCTGGCTCTGTTAGTATTACTGAGTGCTATTACTGGGAAATAGCTGAAGTCCTTGACCCAGGTCTGAATGTCTCCTGGCCAACCCTGCAAGTCTGAGGAGATGGGCGTTTGAGTCAGGGCAACTGCAGGCCTAGTACTAAGCTAAGGCCCCACCAGGGGGAGCTGGAACTGTGCTCTGTTCACCAAGCAAGGCTCCCAAACCAGGAAGACAGAGTCACCTACAACATCATCTCACAGCCCTTTCTGAAGGTGTCACTCTCACACACCAAGCAAGCTCTGGGCTCTCTGGGGGCTCACACCAGAAAATTATCTACTGCGATTTCCCAACAAAACGCCAAAGGAGATCCCACTACCTGACACCCTAAAAGCAACCTAATGTCTCTCTCCTGCACATGGCCCAGGAGTCCTGTCCATCTAGCTCAGAAGCTACAGGTCCCTTCCTCTTGCCCACCAGTGTACTGGGCTCTGTATGGAGCTGACAGCACAGTCCAGGTCTTGCCAAGCACAGCAGGTGAGCGCCTTTGTTCCCCCTGGCTTGCTCAGCTCAGCAGACTAGAAATGTCAGGGGGGGGGCACCACTCTGGCTTACACCAGGAAGAAAACAGACTTTCTCAAGTCAAGGGGCTGAGCCTAAGTCTGCTGGGCCCAAGACCCCACAGTGGCAAGAGAGGTCCATGAGGATGTGAGTTGACTCTGTATCCCTAGGGGATTGCATCCAGCATGTTCTCTGCCTCCGCACACCCACACAAGTATAGACTCCACAGATGCTCAAGTCCCTTATATAGGACATAGAATTTGCATCTGACCTCTAACCTATGCATTTCCTCCCACATGCTTCTTCATCTCTGGATTTAATACCCAATGCCACATGTATACTGTGAGAATCGTGGCTACGTTGTACTGTCTAGGGAACAACAGCAGAGGGGAAGGTGTGCGTTCAGTACAAATGCTATTTAAAAGAGGCTGGCTACGGGTGTGGACCCGGGAGTGCTGAGGCTGGCTGTAAAACACAATGTGCCCTTCCTGGCACCGCACCACACCCTCCCCTACACAGGCCACGGGATGCTGCTGATATTTCTTCCAAAACCTAACAGCAAGAGAACAGAGTGGGAGGGGTGACATTTGGGAAGGAGGAAGAAGCAGCAGGCACCGGGGACAGAGATGACTGTGAGGAGGTCTCTGCCTTCAATAAATTCATAATTCAACCATGGGAGGGAACAAAGGAAAAGAAGAAAGGCCAACACAGGACACCTCAGCAGCAGGTGCAGGTCTCGCATAAGGAAGAGGCCGGGTCCTTTAACCTGAATGGAACAGAGAAGGGAGGGCTGATGTGGCTGAGAAATACAGTTTCTCTTTCCAGTGCTACATCTGATCTACAGGGTCCTAAGTACCCAGCTGAGTCCAGGCTGCCAGAGGGGTTGAGCGAGGTAAGAGGCCGGGTAGCTGGGAGTCCCAGAGGCTCTGCTGCTTCCTGTCTACAGACATAAACTCTTTCTTGGTGCGGGGCTTTGATTTCCAAGGTCTGCAGGCTCACCAGCCTCCTATCTCTTCGACTCTAGACCTGAAAGCAGACTGCCACTCAGAACAGAGGCTGAAGGCCAAGGTCAGAGTGAGGAGCTCTGGGCCTTGGCTTGCTGCCCAGAAGGAGGCATAAGATAAAGAGCTGAGCACCTATCCTGTAGGGGTTATCCAGAGCCAGCCACCTCAACAGTATACAGGGCTCTAGCAGAGCAAGACCTTGAGTCCTCACAACAGCATAGGCTTCCTCTCATACCCTCAACGTGCTTAAGATTCCTGGGAGCTGTGGTTCTCAGAAGAGAGAGAGAAAAACAAAAACAAAAACAAAAACAAAAACAAAAACAAAAAAAACAGCCACACTGGTGATGAAGGCTCTATAGGGTAGATAGATTCCCTGACCAGACCTGAAGTGATTGTGGAGAGTCAGAATGTTGCAGGTACAGATTGTCCTGGGCTATTTTGGGTCCTGTAGCTATCCCACTGCTATATTTTTTGACCCATCCCTGTGGTTTTTAGGCAAATCTTTTTGTAATGTACTAATGGACCCTTAGCCTCTATTAAGTCATCAGATAACAACCAAGGCCTATAGCAGGTATTTCCCAATTTGCTGTAACTCACTGATCCAATGTACCTCTCAATGTACATTTAAATTACCTTGATTTATGATTTTTTCTGATACTAGAAAAAAATAACCTTCATGAAACCATTACCACATTAGAACACAGAATTTATGGTAATCTGAATCCTTGTGGCTCCCAAATAAACTTTTACTCCCTTTTAGGTGATAGCTGTTCTGTTGTTTATTTGTTTGCTTTCCTTTTTTGGTATCAACATTCCCACCTCAGTTTTAAGGCCTTAAACCTATTTTTTTAAAGATTTATTTATTTATTTATTTATTATATATGCAGACAGGCCAGAAGAGGGCATCAGATCTCATTACAGATGGTTGTGAGCCACCCTGTGGTTGCTGGGAATTGAACTCAGGACCTCTGGAAGAACAGCCAGTGCTGTTAACCTCTGAGCCATCTCTCCAGCCCAGTTTTAAGGCCTTAAAGGATCAGGGTCACCCAGCTTGCCACGAGTGTCTCTTCATCTCTGTGCACATCTCAGCATGGCCTCCCTTCAGTACCTTCCCATTTCCTCTACCTGAGCCTCAGCCAACGACAACGACACCAGCCTGTACCAGGGATGACACAGAAAACCAACACTGGAGGCCCCACGCGCCAGGAATGACAGGAGCAGCACAAGGCTTCCAGGCTTCTGTGCAGCTGTAGCCATGCCCTGTCTGCCTGCTGTGCTCCTCCCTCAGCCTGACAGACATCCCAGAAGCTGGTCATGGCCTGCAGCCATTCCAAGGAGGCAGTCTTTGTTGTCGAGAGCTATGTTTCGGAAACCAGGCAGAATGCCTAAAAGTGGCACTGAAAGCCCTGTGGACTGAGCCAGAACTGCCTGGAAACTGCCCCAGTGCCTTAATGAGACCCTGAAGGAGTAGGAAATGACATAGCAATCACTTGGAATCTCTATTAAGCTCATAGTTTATTAGCAAAGAGATCCTAGAAAACGAAGGTCAAAAGCCCAGGGTCGAAGGGCAGCAATGGGTCCCTGCACAGCCATTTGGAGCCAGTAGCAGACTCTCAAGTTCGGGCTTCAGTTTGCAGACAGGAAAGTAAGCCTCAGAGCCTCAGGTCAAGATTTAAACACAAGTCCCTCAGATTCTCAGGGGATCACTCTGTCTGCTGCTCTTAATAGTCTCAAAATGCCCCATTTGGGGTCAGCAAAATGGTTCAGCTCATGAAAGTGCCCACACACAAGGCTGATGATCTGGGGTCTGTTTAAAGGTGGAAGGAGAGAACAGACTCCACAAAGTTGTCCTCTGACTCCACACTCATGCCATATCCACCTGCACTCTGCACCCACAATAATAACCAATAAATAAAATGTGAATGCCCCACCTCGGATTTGCTTCACCAGCCCAAAATTTCTATGTTGACGTCCTAGTCACCGAATACTTCAGAACATGTTCTAGAGATAAGGTCCTTGCAGCTCAACTAATTCAAATGAGGCTGTGAACTGGACTCCCTAGGAAAAGCCTCCCCTGGGTTAAAGACACTATAAGTTAACTAATTAGAACTCCCAGGTGTGGGTATTAGAACGTTCATACCTCAAGTTAAATTATCTTCGACTGTCTACCTCTGTGTCTAAGCTAACACTCTTGTGACTGTCATCGTATAGTAACAGTCCATGGCCTCTCACCTCCCATCTCCAGAGCCCACCAGGGCAGGAGCACCACTGAAGGATCACGAAGACTCCAGCAACCTGCTTCACCTCACT